ATATTGGTCCCTGGTCCACTCCTCCGGGAATCTACAGAACTCCTTGGGCTTCTTTCTATTCTGACCCTGTGACCCTGCCCTGAACCCCCAGCTGGCTTTGCACAGCCATCACCCAGTGACACATCCAGGACACTGGTGCCCACTCTTCCTTTTCTACTTTGCCTTTGCGATAATATCCTGCTTGCATTTCTGTGCTTTATTTCCCAGTCTGTAAGATAGACGTTTAGCTGTTTGCATACCGATGTTTAAGAGTTTGTGGGGGTAAAAGGAGCTCTTGTGCAATCCAGTCATCTGATAAAGACTGTCAGAAACCTTGTGCACCTGCTCTCCCACCCCCTGTTGGCGCTCTCATCTTCACCCTTGACGCACGTCTCTGCTGCTTGTGTTTCTACCTCTGTCTCTTGCCGCCGGACTCTCTTGGTACTTTTCCTTGTCTTGGTTTCTTTTTCCGGGACTGTTCCTGCCTTCCTCGTCTCCCTCTTTCTTCCCTGGTGCTGTGCTGTATGTCCTTGCTGCATCTGTCATCCTGTTGCTTTCTAGAACTAGGGATCAAAAAACGCATATCTGAGAGTGTCTGTAATTACCATATGATTTCACTAGATTAGTGAGCATGATGGAGATTGTAGTGAAACAAGATGACTTTTCCAAGCACAGGGCTAAGCCTTTAGGAAGGCTCAGATGAGAAAAAGTCATCAGAAAATGACAGTGACTAGAAAATCTGTATATAAACCTTGAAGTAATTGCAGGAGAGGCAGACATGAAGCTGGAGCCCTGGGGAAAAAATAGATTTAATCCTTATGGCCCCAAGTAGTTATTGATTTAAAGTAGAAATGTAAGATAAGCCAACTTCCATTTTTGAAAGAGTTGTTTGAGTTGGAAAGAATGGATGTGAGAAGTACAAGATCAGAGGAAAGATGTGAGTCTAGAGGCTGTTGCTCCAGTCCAAGAGAGAGATCTTACCAGAGTTTTTGTGTTGGGGTGGAAGGAAATGGACAGGTGAGGTATGGAGAACTCACTAAAAGTCTACTGGATGTTGATGGGCTGCTTAAGTTGAGGGAGGTGGGGAGAGTCATGAGCGGCTCCTAGGTGTCTGCTTGAAGAATGGAGTAATAGTGTTTCATCCTGAGATAGGGAACACTGGGAGAGAAGTCAGATCTGTGTCAGGAAAGATGGTATGTACAATCTTGGAGGTGTCTTGTATTGAGGTTCTTGAAAAACATCCAAATGAAGAGGTCTTTCAAATATCTTCGTGAACGTATTCAGGTACTCAGATGAATGAACTTAGAAGATAAATCTGGACATATGTGTTTTGAAATCATTAAGTTATAGATGGGAGAGACATGAAAGCCTCAGGGAGAGGCTGACTGCTTCTGAGGACATTACAGGTGCCATTTTGATAGCTTGGGAACACCCTCGTGAAAACTCACTGCTAACATGTCTCATTCTTGGGCCAGAAATTATTTCTGTCTAGTGAATCTTCTCTCCATCCCTACAATGTCCCACATTGTTCCCCATCTCTTACAAGCAGTTTTCACTCTCTGCTAACTTTTCACTTATTCTCCTTTCTCTTTTTCTCTGTGTATAACTTTTATGCCTCTCCTCCACTGTCTCTGTCTTCGAGCATTTTTCTTCTCTCTGTTCCTCTCATAATATTTTCTCCACCCTTTAAGTCCTGTGCCTTATTTAATAATCAAGTTTACCTCCTTTCTTCCATGGTGCTCATTTCCATGCCTATATCTGTTCTCTCTAATTAGCTTTCTGTTCCTAATTTTTCAATTTCAATTTAATTTTAATTTAAATTTCAGTCTTTCTGTATATTCTGTCTTATTTTTCTCCCATACCATCAAAGGTCTCATCTTTTGCCACTAACAAAGCGGCAGGGACTCTTCCCTTTGTGAAGCTCATTTCAACAGTTTTTCACTGAGTTTTCTATATTGCAATATACTCATTATATCCATGCTCTTGGCATAACCTTGAGAAAATAAGTTGAAAATTATCTCCCCTTCCTTATAACCCAATGTGGTATTATTACCCAAATATTACCCAACATGGTAATATTTGAATCCCATGACTATTTAGGTAAAACTGGCAGTCACTCAGATCTCTCTTTATTTAATGATTCAATCTATATTTTCCTTTCCCTCTCTCTTTCCCTATGTCCTATATGCAGGAAAGCCCCAACCAGTCTGAGATCATCCTTCTTTTGCTACTTGTCTCTCTCAAGGAAAGCAGGAAGAAGCTGGGCATAGACTGTCTGTGTCTGTATGTGGGGAGGGATGCATGGATGAATGGATGGCTGGCTGGCTGGATGGACGGATGAATATATGAATAGATGGATGGATATATGGATGAATACATGAATAGATGGGGGAATGGGAAGGGAGATGAAAGAGTAGGTGTTTTTGTATGTTGACAGAATAACAAAGCTTTAATTTAAATCCTAATTACCTTCCGTATCATAAGGCAGTAATGTGGGCATTTCATCTGATTCTCCTTCATCTGTTTGTATAGCAAGTTCACAGGACACTGCGGAGCGAAAGAGGAACATGACAGACAATTGACAGTGACCTGGACACCTACCTGGATCCATGCTGAGCTCTAATGTTCAGGTGTAGAACTGCTCCCTGGGGATAAAGGTGTCTTTGCACCAAACAATAATGGCTCCACTTCTTCTAGCACCTTGTCGGGCCCCTTTCCCCTCTCTCCCTCTCTCTTCTTCTCCTTTTTCTCCCTCTAACCCTTTCTTTACACATTGCTGCGTCTGCACCATAAACCAACTCCAAGATCTCTTTGACTTGACTTCCTCTTCCTGACTTCTACCATTTCTTTGCATTTCTGTCTCTTTCCTCCTTCGTGATGTTTGTTACCTCTTTGCCCCATTATATCCCTATTCATTCTTCTAACTTTGTCACTTCCACTTTGTCTCTTCTGTATACAGTATTTCATTATTCCCAAATAATCCTTGGCAAGTAAGTTTAAAATTCTCTCTCTTTTCTCAAACCCCATCCTGGTAGTATTTAGATTCCATATTCATGTAGATAAAATTGGGCCCACGTAGGCAATACCATCTGGTGCCTCCAATCAGAGTAATTTTTATTACTCTGTACACTTAAGCTCTCTGCCCAGGAGCCCCTCCACTAAAGGACTTAGCCGTCCTTTACCTCCTGCCTCCCACACACCTGGGGAAAACAACCACAGGCTGAACGAAAGTGTGTTACAGGGGTGGTGGTGGAGAGAGAAGGAAGTGTTGCTTGCCTAGAGATAGGCCAACTAATTTAATGAGATAATTGGTCATTTAAATCATAATTACCTCCCCCACCTGGTAGTAGACTGGGTGCATCTTCTGCGTCTCCTCCATCAGCATTTGGGAGGGCTAATTGCTCACAAGACTCTGAAGAGAAACCTGGAAATAAATAACAAGGCACAGTGATGAGAGCACAGACCTCAGGATGTTCCTGCTGAATCCTGGTGTTCAGCACTCAAGTGAGCTTCTCTTTGCAAAAAAAGCACCATTGCTCCAAGGACCTCGCCTGAGCCCCACCACAGCCTTGCTCTGCCTGTTTTCCTTCTGGTCATCTCTCTGCCACCTCCTTTCTCCTTCTCATTTTTTGGTCGCCAGATGCTCTTGCTTCTACACCATGAAGCACTGACCATCTCCTTGACTCCCTGGGATTTCCTCTCTTTTTCTTTTCTGTTGATCTTCAATGCCCTCCATCACATTTTCCTACTTGTGTCTCCATTTTTCTTTCTGGTTCTCTTCTTCTGGATTTCTTGCATCTGCACGGCAGGTTCCAATCTTACCATTTCTCTTTGCTTTCCCCTGCTCTGGCCATGGAAATGCTTTTCTTGAATAAGAGTCTCTTTGCACCAGGCCCTAGCCCACTCCCCTAAGAACCTGCAGGTCTCCTTGGGTCTCCTGTGTGAACTCCGATCCATGACCCTGGCTACCCTGATTTCTGTCAAACTCACACAACCATCACTGCAGTGAGTCAGCTGGAATGTGGGTCATGTTCTTGCTTGACTAATTTGACCTGGTAAAAGACCTTACACCTTTCTATGCTTCTACTTCTACTTTATTTAGCTATAAAATAGAAATAAGCAAAAGTTTATCCATCTAAATTCATAAGCTGTGGTGATAAAATGGCATCTTGCTTGCCAAAATTCTTTGAACAATAACTATGTAAGATAGTAACACAATGGAAAATATTTGGCAAAAATTATCATTTAGTTTTTTGAGTGGTTGGTCTGATGGAACATGTTTCTTATGAAGGCTTTCTATAGTGAGGGACAAAATAATAATAGTAACAAACAACAATAGTTTTTATTCTCTAGAGAAAATAAATGGTGGGTAGGTATAATCAAGTTTTTATTGTTAGTAGACATTAAAGACATCATCCTTCTCTAGCATATTTCTACTATAACATACACTTAGGAACATTTAGCAGAATTATGGGATCTGAGGACAAAATGGATCTTTTGCCTGTGGAATGTGCTCAGAGTAAAATGCATCAGGAAACACCAGCTCTGAATTCCACCTCCTGACACCCTGAAGGTCAGGAAGAGCAAGTCACCCCTTCCTTACCTGGCTCACACCTTGGCGAGGAGCTCAAGGCTTCCTGAGGCACTGCTACATCACCCGTTTCATGATCGGCATTGCTGTTCTCTGCAGAAAGGAATGAAATCCCTCAGATGTCTTGATTTACGGTCAAGAAAGCATCAAAACAAGAAAATAAATAATGAGAAAACTAAGAAAGCCTGATACACTGGAAGGTCCCCACTCCCCAAACAACCTGACCTGAGGATTAAGTCCTTCAGTAACCTTCACCAGAGGCTGAGAATAATTCATCCATTGCGGGGGAATCTTCCTTTCCTTACGCCTTCTTCTCTTTCACATTTTCTCACTCATGTCTTTCCATCTGTTTCTGTACATTTCCTCAATCTCTGCCTCTGTTTTTTTCTGCGGATGTTTCTTGGAGCCTCTCTTTCCTAGATGCATTTCTCTCTTCTCTGCTCCTGCAAATTTTTCTCTTGCTTTCTCTGATACCACTCTTTCTCTCCCATCCTTAGCCTCTCAATTGTGCCTTTCTAGCTTTCTCTAAAGAAAGACCTCCCTTTGATCATATGTTCTAAGTAGGATTTAGCTGGATTGGAGAAGGATAAATGGAGAATAGTGGGACAGGAAAACAATTCTAAATAAGGTAGCAAAGAGAAAACATAGGGAAAGGCTCAGTTTGAAAGAAAGATTTAACAATTGAAATTATTGGGGGAAATTTTATTCTACCTTAAAATAATACTTCAGGAGGCAGGTGATTAAGCTGGAGAAGTAAGCAGGTGGATCATTGTGGATGCCTTTGGATTTTACTTAAAAACCCATTTATTTAATCCTTAGTGTATTAAGGAGGTAAGTAGGAAAATGATACAACCTAAGGTGCATTTTAAAATATCCCATCTAGTTGAAGTGCAAATAACACATTTGATGGAAGCAAGATTAGAGGGAGGAGATGAGCAAAGGATGTTGCCCTGAGAATCATGAGAGTGATGGAGATCTGGACCAGAGAACTGGTCTTGGGGATGCAAAGATGGACAGGCCAGAGGCAACCTGAAGATGAAATGATTACATTGGCTGCATAACTGGCATGTATTTGAGGGCAAGGGAGGAGTCATCCATGATGACTTGACTAGGTTTCCAACTTGAAAAACCATGGGACAATAGTGATCCATCTCTGGGAGAAAGAGTGCTGTGGAGGAGTTAGATCTAACTTGAGCAATGAAGATGTTGCTTTTAGTTCTCAAAGTACCAAGTTTAAGGTTCTTGAAAAAATTCAAGTGTAGATGTCTGTCCGACCCATGAGTAAAGGTCCTTGGGTCCATGAATAAATGTACTCTAAAGATAATTTAGAGTGAAGATTTGTGCTTGGGAATCATTAGACTATTCTGGGAGAGGCCTATTGAAATCTGAGTATGATGTAAGTGCCACTTTGATGTGCGAAGAGTTCAATCTGAAAACTTATGGTTCATGGAGCCAACCCTTGTAAAGTTGCTGATATCCAGTGCTCTTACCTCAAACCTACACTGTCCCAGTCTGCTTCTCTCTCCCTTTTATCCACTTTTCACTCTCAAGTGATTTTACACCCTTTTTTCCTTAACTGTTTATCTACATAGTTGCCTCTGTACCTCTTCATTTTCCCCATTTCTTGGTATTTATTTTCCTCTCATCTTTCTTTTTCCATATACTTCTCTCTCCATTTTCACCTCTGATCCTTGGCAGATGTTTCAGTTTACGTTTTCTCTGCTGTGTCTTATACTTCCTCTCTTTCCATTTCTGTTTCTCTCATTTCACTTTGATCTTCTATCTGCCAACATTATTTCAGTTTTGTCTCCCTGCGCAATTCTATCTTTCAGGCTCCCCTGTCTCTCCATATCAACAACTCCCCTCTTGGACTGTGACCACAGTACTAGGGACCCCTAACTGGCCAACTCTGTAAGGAACATCTCTCACCTGAATCTGATATGGCTTAGGTTATTTCTGAGTTTCTCTTAATAGTTCTATGAAATTAATTAAAAATAATCCCCTTATCTCAACCTGGGAGGGTAGGGAGGGTAGGATTTTTATGTTCCCTTGGAAGATGGAATCCATTCATGTAATTTGTCAAGTATTATTCTCTGTCTACCTTTCCCATTTTCTCTTTTTATATTCTCCACCAATGGAGACTCCATCTATTCAAGAGATCAGATCTCCTTTTTCATTGGTTCTCTCACACCTGCTGGCAGATAAGGGCAGGTACATGCCTGTGTGAGGGGAAGAGTACTGGGAGATAACAGGGGGCTAAGATAGGAGAGAAAATACAAGCTTTGCCTCCATGAAGACAAGGAAGCAAAACTTTAATAAGGGCATTGATCAGTTAAATGATAGTTACCTTGTTTACCATATGGTAGTAATCTGGGTCTGTCTTCTAACTCGTTTACATTATTCATTTGGAGAGGTGGGTGTTCATAGCATACTGAGGAAAACAATGTGAAAATTACCAAACTCAGACAGCAACCAGAGGAGAGACCTCAGTGTGCTTAAGCTGAATTTGATGTCCAAGCCCCAGGATCTCCTGCCCCCGAGGTCCAACAGAGCCTTGTTCCCCTTTTTTTAATTGAGATGCACATATCTTAAGTGTAAATCATTGTGAAACCAACATCCCAGTCAAGATTCAGAACATTTCCACCATCCCAGAAAATTGCTTTGTGCTTAAGACACCACTGTTCTGGTTCCTATCACCAGCAATGGCTCCTTCCTTTCTGGCACTGTACTTCTCTGTATTGTCTGTACTTGTACTCATATAAATAGGATCATGCAGTATGTACTCTTAAAACTTGCTTATTTTGCTCAATATAATGTTTTTGAGATTTATCCATGTTGCTCTGTGTGATAACAGTTCATTCTTTTTATTGCTGAATAGTATTATACTCTATAAATTAGTCATAGTTCATCTACTCTCCTGTTGATGAGCATTTGGGTTGGTTCCAGATTTTAGTTATTATGAATAAAGCTGCCATAAACATTC